TATTTCTCCTCTACCATCTCTTCGACACGGGCACTGTCGAAACCTTTTTAGTTATTGCTGATTCTCAGCCTACCCGAGGTCATAGCAAAAATATCTTCAAGCCCCGTCCGAGAACCACTCTACGTACCTCATATTTTTACCTTCAGGGTGATATCATTATGGAATGTTCTCTCAGAAGAGATAGTCAGCGCCCCCAGCAAGGCGGTCTTCAAGCTTCGTCTTGANGGTTTATCTACTCTCCAAAAAAAGAACATTTTTAATCATATGAGAGTTCGCAAGTCTTCATTTTATTTCTCGCCTCGAGCGGGGAACCCTACTAGTCGCTTTTCAGTACCCTCTGTTCTAGAGGTAATTCAGACCAAAAGAAAACACAGATACCTTTCAAGGACCCGGGACATTTGGACAACAGCCTCGAACCCGTAAATCACTTCAAGGCTTCAAGATGGCACCTTTTGCTTTATGATGGTGTGCAATTGCTTTGCCACGGTTGCACACCCATTCTAATCCACTACGTTTACACTACAAAACATAGATCTCCGAAGAGACCCCTGTGAGACTTTTGGTGAGCCCGTTCTCCACATACATCGCACATGATACCCCTTACCACCTTTTCACCGCACGCTTCGTTCATACACGGAAAGTTAGCAAGTGGCATATTTCGAAAAAGATGTGCAATATAAGTAAACTGACAAATATAGGATACCAAATTTACTGTAGGACACAAAACGTAAAACGAGCGTCAATAATTACATAAAAAACGGTTTTTCGGAAACCTAGCATTCAAAAACCTTTAGAAAGGTGTACCTGAAGCCAGATATTTTACTATCAAGCTTGTATTTAAAGGTAAAGTAGTAAAACGGACTGTTGTAGTGGAACCACGGGAGCAGCCATTTTGAATTTTGTGAGAGCCGTGTGGATGTCTCACTGGACCTTTGATTCGTCGTTGGTTTTCGTATTTTCCCTGTCTTGTAGGTGACTGGAATCCCTCTCCACGGAGAACCTATTATGAGGAGTGTCCTACCTGTGCATTGCGAGCTTCCGTTAGTGGCCAAGGATCGTTCGACCTTTTTGGAACGGCATTAGTGTTGCAAGATCTCGGACTGCGTTGCCCGCAATCAACCTCCTGCCCGTGTGTTTCCATTGGATTGAGATCTGGGGTCGGTCCCTCATATTACACTGTATAGTCCGTTTTACCGTGCTTTTTAACGCAATTCAGTGGAAATTCACAGACAGCAAATATCACGCAACCGAATTCAAACGTCCCTTGTAAGGGTAGAGACATATGTGGTGTGCTTCAAATCGTCCGGAAACCTGCATGTGCTTATCGCTGGTCCTTCCACACCCTTCAAGAACTGTCAGCAAGAACTGTCGAATTATCACAGGAAAATTGTGGATTGCGCCTAAAAAAAGAAATATTTCATTATTTCGAGCCACAAGTTCTTTAAAAGCTTCTATCTTGCCTTGACATTCGTAATTGTTTTAATCGTTCGCGCTGTTCAAATTCGTCGCCATATTTTCGCCGCTTTGTGTTAGGTGGCCTAGAAATAGGGTAATGTAAGTAACTCGTAGACAGCCGTTGGTTGTGATTGTCATTCAAATTAAAGGTGTTTTACAGCATGGTCGTCTCATTTTGGTTACGAATGACCGTTTTTATGTCCTTTTTCGCTTTTAGTTAGGACTCCGATGCCATCCAAGAAGCCAGCCAAGGCGACTGCAAAAGCGGTAAGTACTGATTATTTTCTGTTCTGTTGGGCTGCTTTATGGAATAGACTAGGTAGGATTATGATGTTATTTTAATAATTCACTTGCGCGTTGTCCTGTTTGCGGAGTCTTTCTGGAACCCCCTTGTATGTAAGGTCTGCATTCATTTAGTTGCACTCCATTCAATACCCCTTTTGGTAAAAATAATTGCAGGTTTTTTCATTTCAAGTTATCATTTCATCAATCAAGAACTTTGTTCCCCCTTGATCTCTGGCGTTTTAAAGGGTGCGACGGTAGTTTGTTTTTGAATCCTATGCACAATTCTTACGCTCCATTTATGGTCTCATTCGTTTAATTGTTCGTGCGTAAAATTCCAGTCGCCAAAACGTGAGCGTAGCAGGTCGGTTGGTCGACTAAACACCAAAAGCAGGTCCCGAACGCCCACTAGATCCCGCTCGCGTACTCGCGCAGCACCTACCAAGAGAAGCAAAACTCCATCGTCTGAATCGAAACTCAGACGTCGACGCTCTCCTACCCCTAGCTCCGATTCGTCAGATCGAAAACCTTATGTTGCTCTGCCGAGGATTCTAACACAGTCCATTCCGGATGCATCAGGCGATAAACGATCCCGTTCAGCGGTTTTTCGGGAGTCCACTCCAAGTCGCTTTTCACAGAGGATTATCGAGAAGATTGAAACGACTCGACCATCAACAGTGGTTCACGAGCGGTGAGTTCACATGCTATATTTCATTCAAGGGTTCATTCTGCTTTTCGCAAACGGATAACTATATGGATGCATGCATTTTATAAACTTCTACTCTGGTCGTGTTATATGTTATAATAAAGCCCTGGGCAGGTCGGCACCAGTTTTTAACCAATGGTTTTATTGAAAACGTTGACATCAAATGAACGGCGGTTTGAGTATACTCACTGATAAAACTGACCTCAATTCATTATTTTAGCGTTAATCGCTGAGCGTGACTGAGTGAAACAGACACGGTAGATGACAGAAGCCGTATCTGTTGGTAACTAGTGCTGTTGTATGATTAAGTATCACATCTCATATCTCCTTATAGAACCCGTGGTTCCTTATTGCTTCAACTATTTCGCACTCATCGCCATTCAGACGACTAAACAAACGGCGGTGATCCGGCGTCAACGTCACCAAAATATCACCCTGTTGGGCGTTCAAATCTCACTACCACCACCACCGCCTGACCTTTCCTCAGTGTGTTGTATGGCATTCCTTTGTTTGGCCGCTTCCCCCATCCTGAAAATCGTGTCATTATGTATTCAGTGAAAAAAGTGGAAATGAGAAAGAAAAAAGAGATAAAAGGTATATTATCTTAATAACCAATCATTTGCCCGCGGGCGGAAGTGTCAAGTGGCACAGACCAAAAACGAACAGGGTTTTTTGACAGATAATTGGTGATGACTCATGACATCTGTTTTTACCATATAATTATGTTCTAGCCTTCAGTTGAATCACCACAGGTGAGCTTATTCTCTACCGGAAAGGTACACGCGGGAAATTTATACATCCTGTTCTGTTGTCGATCTATTGCCCTCATCCTGTCAACACTTCACAGCTATCAACGACCAAAAACCTTAAAATGTGAGGTCTGCATTGAGTCCAACAAACAGGCAAACCTGACCGAATCGAGTAAAATGGACAATCGTTTAGTACTGGAGAATTTCCTGTTTAAGCAAACGTATATTTTTAACTTTCCGTTGGAGCTTCTGACAGATATTATTAGTTAGTTTTTATTATTATTAGTTACGGGAATCAGTTTTGTCGAGATATCAACTCCCCGTGCTCGTGGGCAGCTGCGTTCTCGAACTCAACACCACGCCTATCCTGGTACAATCTGATTTATCACGTCAAGTCCCATGGCTTAGGATGCTGGGTACTGCGTAAACCAGGGTGATACTATAATGAAATAAGCTAGTTCGACTTCAGAAAAAGTTGTTTTTAGTTTATGAAGGACCTGGTATTGTATTATTGGAAGCCGTTGAACCTTTGTTTTTCACAGCTACCATTGTTTCGTTTTGTTTCTATCAATATTTATACACGTGTAGTACTTTCATTGTGTTAAAATTCCTTGAATGATTCACCGTCTTCGGTTTAGCTCGAAGAGCCCAGATTCTACAATTCAGAAAAGCAAATGGTGCTGCGCATCCATGTCCAAGTTGAGCGATTTTGTCCGCGATAGGATGCTCACATCTCCTTTTGTGGCTGCGATCAACATTGCAATCAGTATACCTTTGGTGTATTGGCTAAATTTGCTTGTATTTGCTCCGGTGGATGCTGCACAATCAAACAAAACAGAGCACTACACGTTATGGGGCCCTGCACGTCCATTTGCGGGAGTATTATGGCCAACTAATCGTCAGGCTTACCTGGACTTGGGATGCTTTAGTTTCATCGCTACTTTCTGGATGTTGCAGCTTTTGCTCGCTCGTTTCGTTCCTATCGGCTTTCGTGTGGCCTCCAATCCGGAATCTCGGAGAATGGACTATCGGTGCAACGGTGAGTTCTTCAGATTTATTATATACATGTACTTGCCTCAAGTGTAGACAGTAAAGCCTTCATCTACCTCAAACTATATATAGTCCCATCCAGTTTAGTTGCTGGTTCCATCAATCGTGCAGGTCTGCGTATCTATGTCGCATGTATCGCATCCACTGGCAAATCATAAACATTTTTTTTATTGTGCTCATTTACTTGATACAGTCTGGAATCAGGCACATGAAAGGTAAGATCGCGTCATAAAAACTTTAACTTTAATGGAATCTTGCCTATTAATTCAAACGATGGCTAGATCCGCCGTGTAAATGCCATTCCGATATATTAAACCTTGATTGATTGGTTTCTCATCGAAACCAATCTCACTGAACCTCGAACTATCGTAGTTTTGCGTCTTAACCGCAACATGTTGATTGTTTCTTCTGTTCGGGTTTCCATCAGCCGTTTGTAATTCGATTATTCTGTCAGTGATAAGAAATTTACGTCATACAATCTCCCTTTTGCTATTTCACAGGTTTGTTCGCCTTCATTTTCTGCCTTTGTATCTTCGGGATCGCTCAGTGGTCCACTCTACCTCAACTGCAACGCTCAAGGCCCAGTCTTCTTCTGCCCAAATACTTGATGAGTTTGATCACAGCTTCTGTCTGCTTGGCTATCCCATGCAGTCTCATAGCTTACATAGCTTCGAAACGGTCTTCGAGAATTCCGGTTAATCCCGATGGAAATACAGGTTAGTTGAATGAACTCGGTTCAAAAGGTATGGTGTACTATTATGGTTGTTATTCTTTTTCACCCACAGTCAGCACCATCTTTCAGTGGACAATATTATATAATAAAGGGGATTAATTTCCTGGCCGAGTGTAAACACACAGCAAATGATGGTGGAGGAGCTCTTTTTCAGCGATTCATTGGATGACTGATACATAATCAAGTCCGAGTCAAGTTTTGATCGATGGAATATCACCGTCGTCCTTTTCTACGTCTTTTTTGTTAGGGTTTTATCAAATCCCAGTTCTCAACCGAACTAAGAGTCGTTGCGACCATGGTATTGTTCTCTATCATAAATAAAGCAGACTTGTTATGTAGAAACCAGTGGATGACTCACCAAAAAGACTTACTCGCTGCTATGCTTCTTACAAAAGAACGAGGTTGTGTTCGGGTTCCGTACCAAATGGCTTGCCGGTCGTTGAGGAAAATGAATGTTCAGAAGCTAACCGCACGCAGTATAGCTATTTAAGTCACTCTTGCTATGATTTGTACCCCAGAGTTCGAGGTTTGAACCCTTTCATTGCTTTTCCCCTCCCAAGCTTGGCATCCCCAGCCAATAAAGTGTTGTCCTGTGCACTTCCCGTTTCTCGTTGGGTTCATGAAAGTGAAGGCTAATCGCAAGCACCGGACCGATAGTTAACGCACCAACAAACAATACACTGAATCAGAGCCCAAAGGTCTCGCGTGACGGATCTCTAGAATCTCCCACTAGTGTGTTTCGGTTACGCCCCGGCGTTGTATCTACGCCTCACTGTTTTGTGGGTTAAACTTTTGTCAGGGTTCCCAAAGAAAACCCTTTTCGTCTGTGTGGGATGCTGCGAAGCACTCATCTGGAAAGTCCTAGTCTCAGACCGCCACAACCTAACTGATACAAATCAGATTCACCATCGTCTGACTCAATACCACGCCCCTCCAGGTCCAAGGACCCAGGTTCTTGTTACCCTTGTGGATATCAATAGGGGTAAACCCTGTAGTCGCTGGGACGTGTTCAGTGATGAATACCGGCAGCCTCACCCCGGGACGAAGCACATGATACCCCACCAAGTTAGGCGTGATACTCAACCGGACGACAGCGAAGCTGTCAATCACTANCACTAAAGTTGGGTGGCGGTGGTGTGGTTCGAACTTCAGACTCGAGGGTTCAAAGCACGCCGGTAACGGCGACGAAACCGCTGCGCCACCACGAGTGAACAAGTCTTCGCGACTGTGTTGTTTCACCCATCTGCCATTCATTACATGTAAGCCGTGTAAAAAAATTGAACCATGCCGTCGGTAAAACTGTACATACGCACATAAATAAAATAAAGTAACTCTCCAGAGTTGTTAACGAAGGGTCAGGCGAACGTTTTACTTTGCATAGGAAATCGATGAACTGTCTCATAAGTGATATTAAAGAGCTGAGCGAGTCAGAGCTTTGTAGGAAATACAAGGAAAAAGACGGGTGAAGAAACATCTCATGGGGAATAAAAATCTAATCTCGCTTGGCTCAGCGGACGAGAACAGAAAGGTAAAATAACGAAGACACAAGTGAAGTAGAAACCGGTAGAGCATAGGGACTTTTTTATTTATTCAACACAACCAATTCCAAAGAACTGGTAAATGTGCCACAACATATGAACAGGAAGAAATTTGAATAATGTTCCTGGGTTGTGTGGGCATGTTACTTCTCGGTTGCCCTGGTCGAGGAAGAGGGATAGCCTCGGCGTCCCGACCCGAAGCCTTTGGCTAGGAAGCCAGACCTGCAAGAAAACAGGATGGAGCTCAAAGTCTGAAGTCCATTGGAGGCCGGTGTTCAGTTCACTGGATCATACGCCCTTTGAACGTGGTCAAACGTCCAAGGTGCCCAATACGCCTCGAAACTCAATCGAGCCGGTGACCACTGCCACAACCAGGAAGTTGTGTGGTTCGTACGCCTTCGCATGGTTGGTTTGGAATCTGGATTTTTGGCCAACTTCCCTAGGTGAAGTAGCAGTGGCCCACCAACCCGTTTATAGCCCCGTATGTCGGCTTTTCCTCTCACTTTGGTGCGAAGACACCTCCACGAGAAGGCATTGAGTAGGAGGATATTTGAGACGCTTGGTCATATAGGAGAATTTCGCGAGGTGTAAGAAAATGGTGTCGTCACAATCCCAGACACCCACACCGACCATACCGAGACTTTTGAAGGCCTCTTGCAATTGGTAGTGGTCAAAGTTTAAATAGAAAGGAAAATAAATGGATATTAGAAAGGAGATTCGAGTCTGAGGTACCATCCGTACATTGTGAGAGTTCATCTTTCACGATCAGTTAGCAATATCGGAGTGACCGAAAAGGTATTAGTGTGCTTTGAGCTGATGAAACTGGCTTGAAATTGAAGTAAAATAGATTGAAAACAAGGACTGAGTGAAAAATATGGAACTTAAACCCTGAGAACTGTTTTACGATTTTGTACACTACAAATAGACGCTGAATTCCCAACCACTTACAATCATCACTTCAAAGCGTACTACGAGCGAGAACGGCTTGCAAGTCTAACTGTCCTTTAGTTACTAACGCGTATTCATCCCCTCGATTGTTAATGATTGTACACTGCAACTGGAACCCTGTTCCGTTTCAATGAATGCTTGCAATTTTTTCTGTAGTTTCCGGGAACATTGAGCGGAATTACTCCTAGTACATCGTTAATACTGCCTTTTTTACTCCAACCTTCACAATGAATGAAAAGCAAAAAATGTCGACTTATGCATCGCAAGCGTGTGGCGTTGAACAGGAATCGGCGGGTGCGTATATCAGCTTTTTGTTACACCCTGAAGGTAAAACGTCAGAGATTTTGAAATAAAACAGTGAGTAGGTGAAAGACGTATATTATCTATCGCCGGTGTAAAAAATGATGGGCTAGTATATTAAGCAGCAAGTAATTCTACCTTACGTCGAACAGGATGAACTGTCGCTTGCTGTACGGACAAGTTTTCTTTTCACCACAATGTGCTCAACAACTAAAATTCTCGACCATTTCCTATGCAGGAAATTTCTTTGTGGATTTCTGGAATGGTCGCCTTACACGACCGCACTGGTGGGGCTTTGATTGGAAGATGTTTATCATTCGTCCGGCGTTAATGGGAATGCTCCTAGTTGATCTCTGCTACGTCTGCGCACAATGGGAACAGTTCGGTCGCGTTAGTCCTACTCTGATGGTAATCACCGCAATGCATTTCCTATGGATCGCGGATTTCATGGTGTTCGAGGTAATTCTAACAGCTCTGTGTCTGTGTATAAGATTCACCTGTCAGTCTTTCTGTACGCTATTTTTTGTAATCTATCTTCACCTAACTAAAGTTCTCTTATCTTTTATTTGCTAACCCACTACATACAGTCTTTCTCTGCCTCTCTTTGAATCCGTCATCGATAGCATGCGCATCTTTCAAGCTACGATGTTCGATATGATGGATTTGGATTTTTCGCAATCCTGGGTATGATGGTCATGCCATTTATATACACAATCACCAATTCCTATCTGTCTACAAAACTTGAAAAACCTTTGATGTGGGGTGCCACTGAAGATAGGTGCCGTTGTGCTCGTTTGGTGTTTTCAATCCTGATGTTCCTTGTTGGTCACTGGATATACCGTGCTTCAAATAATCAGAAAACGCTATTCCGTCGACAGCCAAATCACCCTACCTTCGCTGGTAAGTTGCATCAGTTGTTCTGTGCCACTGATTTGTTTGTAATTTCCCACCGAGAACAATAAATGTCATTTCTTTCCTTTTCACCAGATATGGACAAGATAAGCGGTCCATACTCCCAACGATTGCTTGCTGGAGGATGGTGGGGTTTCGTCAGACACCCTAACTATTTGGGTGATTTATTGATGGCTTACGCAACGGGAGTAGCTTGTGGTGAGTTTGTTATCCCCACATTATCCAGACGAATGCTTTGTCTCATGGATTACTTCTATTTTTTTGAATAATGAAATGAATCCCATTGAATCGCTTATGGTGTGCGACAAATGACAAATTCCGAACTTCACATTTACGCACAGTCCCTAGTTTATCCAGTCAGACGCACACTTGGTAGGTTAGTTCAATCAACATTGCATCTAAACTTCTCGCTGGTATCATACTCCGTCGATTGTCTGCCGCACGTAAACGGTGTACGCGTGAGAACTAGGCTACTTTCAGACCTGGTCGAGGCTGTATTGACCACATCTTCACATTTCGTTAAATTCTAGAACGTAGACACTCCTTACGTGGACCCACCATTTCTATCTTCTTCGATCTAAAAGCGGCTTTCGACTCAGTCGATCACTCTAAACTCTGGTGCTGCCTTCCCTGAAGGTAGTGCCCGAGAGGTTAATTGCAATATTACAATCGCTTTATACTAATGAACGAAACCGAGTCCGAGCTTACAGCACCTTATCAACCGAGTTCACCACGGAAAGTGGTATTCGACAGGATTGCCCTCTCTCCGTTTCTATTCAACTTCGTGATAGATTTAATTTCTTGAAACAGCCCTATCCTCGTGCGAGGATAGCGGCAGACTGTTTGATCTAGAATATGCGGACGACATTGTGCTACTAAGTGATGATCCAGGTAAGTTGCAAGCTTTTCTGGATGGTTGAGCGCTAGTGTATCCGCGGTATGCGTTTCGCTCTTCCAGAGTGTAAAATGCTACTATAAGCCTTGGTTGGTCCAGCACCCAGTCACCATAACTGGGGAAGTAGTAGAGGAAGTAGACACATTTTGCTATCTAGGCAGCTATATCTCACCCGGCGGACGCATCACAGATGGAGTGTCGGCGCGCATACAGAAGGCTCGGTTAGCATTTGCAAACTTGAGAAATTTGTGACGCCGTCGCAACATCCGGTTGTCTGTGAAGGGTCCAGTGTATGCTGCAGCAGTTCGGCCAGTCCTGCTCTACGGTACGGAGACTTGGCCACTAAGGGAACAAGATAAAAATAGATTGTTGGTGTTCGAACACCGCTGTCTACGTAGCATTGCATGAGTATGGTGGGGTAACCGGACGAGCAATGCTGAAGTCAGGCGTACAGTTTTAGGCAGTCGCAGTGTTCCACTGGAGCAAGTGGTCGACCTCCATAGATTACGCTGGTTGGGACATGTGTTACGCATGTCACCAGATAGGTTGCCACGACGAGCGATGTTTGCCTAGACAGGTAGTGGGTGGAAGAAAGCCAAGGGTGGTCAAGTTAGGACCTGGCATGAGGGTATGAAAACACTAACCAGGAAACTAGATCACATAGACCCCGTTAGGCTCCCTGCCTAGGGACCTCGGGATGACGGTCACCGATGGTTAGAGACANTTAGAGACAGTGATATGGTTGGGTGTCGCAAACAGTGGCGCTCGTGCATCCACTCATTATTCTCCTTTCACTGTTCTATGTAGACTCTTCATCTTCCTCTCAAATTCCACTTGAATTTGCTTACAACATTCCAATCTTCAATCTACTCTTTTATCCAAATGTGGCACCAAAAGACCAACGTAAATCGGCACACGAAAGTGCATGGTTGATGGTTGTAAACACTGAACTGAAACGGAACATTCGGTAGGCACTAGACTGAAGTTTTTCTTTTGTAAAAGCTCATATTGAGTACCCATTGGTTCATCGAGGATTTGAGTTCTGGGCCGACAAGTAACTTCAGGTTAAATGTATAAAAAACCCGACTTAGCAGATCCGTTTTGGATGAGATAGTCAAATCTGACTCGGTGGCATGCTTCCAGTTGGAGTTAACGAATAGCGTGATTTTCTTCCCCTACTGTCGAATCCATTACACGACGAATATAATTAATCGTGTCGCTTCACCACCTGAATTGTCTATTCCGGTCAACCACAGTTGATTATACACAACTGATGAGGTCCAAGAAAAGAAAAGCTCGATGCTACTGTTTCCAGAAGGTGTATCCTTGATTGGATGCGCAGTGTGTTGTGTGATGGTGAAACCCAAAGAATGGTCAGTCCAAATTGTAAAAATCGTTGGTAGTATACCGACTAAGCTTAAGTGGGCACTTGGTGGCAAACAGATTAATCCACAATTGTTATTTGAATGATCGGCATTGCGGCTGACTGGTGCTCTAAGGTAACAGTTTTTTTGTTTTCACTTGAGAATGGTTAATCAACCTACCCGAACGAAACCCGTTGATGTGCTGTGGCTGTGGACGGCTGCGTGTCCTGTTTTCCTCACGAAGCTGCATGGTCATTGGTTGTACAAACTTTTTGAAAATACCCGTTGGAAGGCCGTAAATCACTTGAACAGACTCAAACATTGAAAAATAAAGGTCTCTTGCACATGCGCTGACTAAAATATGGCATTCAGGAAAACCTAATTCAGTCATTCAGGTACTACTTATTACATATATGCACTATTGCGTACACAAGGATGACGAAAAGTGTGCATGGAAAAATGGCAGTAACATGGTGCATTATGAGCGGTTGGTAACTGGTTTGTCGACGGACCAGCTGCCTGTAACTCCAGCTGGGTCAGGTCTATGTCTCGGGTTGTGACTAGTCAGTCTTACACCTCACGAAATGCTCCTACATGACCAAGCATCTCAAATAGCTAATGATGAAGCCCTACTCACTGCCTTCGCTTGTCGGTGTTTTCCTACCAGAGTGAGAGACCAAAAGGCCAACATCGGGAGTTAACCGGATTGGTGAACCATTGGCAGTTTACCTAGAGGAGTTGGCCAGAAACCCTGATTCCAAACCAACTGAGAGCAGGCGTGCAAACTACACGTCATCGTGGTTGTGGCAGTGGTCACCGGCCCTATTGGGCATTTTTTTATTTACACTTTCAGACGTGGTAAACCCCATAGTCACCAAGACCTGCAGCTCAGTGACGAAAAACGGTAACCCAAGTCCCGGGACTTGGAGTGGCGAATCACATAAGGTCTCCATAGTATAGGCGTGGTATTAAACCGAACGACAGCAAAGCTGCCTAGCATCTTGGATGTTTGGCCCTGTCTAAAGGGCGTATGATCCAATGAACTGGACACTAGCCTCCAATGGAAGGCAAACTTTGAGCCCCCTCCTACTGTTTTGCAGGTCTAGCTTCTAACCAACGGCTTCGGGTGGGGACACCGGAGTTATCTCTTTTCCTTAGTCAGGGCGACCAGGAAGTGGTATGCCCATATAACCTGTGAACGTTCCAGATTTTCCCTTTATATGTTGTGGCACATTTACCAATGTTGAAAAAATCTATTTTTTTGATGACCCCACCACGGGAAGGTATTGAGTCGGGCTTTTCAATAGGGGAATATCAATGTAAATCGTTAGCGGTTTTTTTAATAGTAGCTTCGACGATGAACTCCGGCTGACAAAATACTAGGTCAGTATCGAGCTTTTAGACTGGAATACAGATTTTGTGTAGTGTGGTTCTCTCACGACTAATTCATTTTTGTATAAAACCTAAGAACTACTTTTAGTGTCACCCTTTTGCTGTTTTCATGACCACCTCCGATGCAGATTGAATTTCATGTTATCGCTCGACGCTTAATTTCCTTTAAGCTCCACTCGTAACTCAGTGATATCGTTAAGAAAATCGCTGCGCATTCCTATTTTCATCCATGTCGTTCTCGTCAATGACTTGCTCTCGGGTCTTCGTTCCTTTGCAGGCTGCCAATCTCTCTTCCCTTGGATCTATCCGACGTCTCTGACTTGTTTTCTGCTGCTACGCATCTGGCGCACCGAGAACTTCATGGGGGAGAAATATGGTTTAAGTATGACGATGTACAAGAAAATGGTTCCACATCGTCTGATCCCTAAAATATTCTGAGTTGGCGGTGTATTTCTTCAATAGGAATGTGTCATTGTATGTACGTATTTTACAATCCTCACCCATCTCTCATGTTATACCCGTTTTTCGAGATCCATTGCATCATGACTCGTACGCATTTACGCGCTCAATTCCAACCCAGGGAGTTTGAAAAGCCAGTGTTGGCTGCTCGTAGCCTTGTTCCATTTTGCTAACTCGGTGTTTTGATTAACATCCGCGACATTTTGTGTAGCACAGATTGCCGTCAGGTCAAATTCTTCACCGGCATTGATTTGATATTTCATTCTGCATGTCATTTACCCATCCATCCACGCTTTGTACAGTTTCGCGACAATCTATTTCAGTGTATTGTATTGCGTGTCATTTTTGTACTTTTTATACAATGTTGTCCCTACCCCTGACAATCAACGGCAGCAGGGTCACCAGGAGGTCTGGTTGATCCATTTGGCTTCCTCGTTTCCAATGTTTTCTACGTATGCGTCTTGTCATCTGATGCTTCAATGTCCAAATAATAGCGTTACATAATATATATTGCGGTGTTTTTACGACTTACGAGGGGCTTTTTCTATTCGCGGACTAGCGAAACTGGTATACAAATACTTGGCCACGAGAATCGCTTCTGTTGAATACAGCTTACGCCGTACTGGAAACACGAGTGCGGGATCTTGGTACTGTCATCCACCTGAGTACACAGGATTTGTCCTCGGGATACTTCCTCCACGCAGTTGACAATGAAACCTGTGTGAATTATCGCGGAGTAGGTATTTTACCAAATAATTCAGTCAAATTCTCGCTTGTCAATTGGACGACGGCGTTTATAGGTCCAAAAGTGAAGTAACAGCAAAAAGGTTTTCGTTCATCTCAGCATATTCACCCACCGACTGCAGCTCATATAAAAAAATGGGTTCTACGACGAACTCATTGGGCTGAGTCGATGCCCTGATAATTTAAAATTTTCTACGCTTTCGTGTGATGAACAGCAGACAGGGTAAACCTCATAGTCATGAGGACCTGCT